CTATCATGTTTCTTACTGAATAGGAAAAATGTTTTCCACATAAATATTATACTCTTTCAGAGTACTGGTCCCTTTTTTCTTATTTAATTTGATCTTGTCTTGCAAGACAAGACACTCTGTGTCTGTTAATAATGGAAAATTAATGGCTGGTTGACTCGTAGTAATATCTTGATCGATTTTTAGCTGAGAAGGTAGAGTTTCACATATTTGAATAAGATTGGTTTTGTTAGAATTTGAACTGCATGATGATAATAAGCAAGAAAGCAAGACAAAATGATACAGTAAAATGGTAAACTTGTAGAAGTTGTTTTAATTTCCTTTCCTCCTTCCTCCAAGCACGTTCAGTATCCATATGCATGCCTTCGCCGCTAAGTGTCCATATCTTCTTCTTCTCTTTTTGTTTTTGGCAATAGAGTTTTATTCTGCTTTTTGGTGTGTCGATGTTAATTTCTTTCTTGTATTTCATGTCTTACAGATCAGATGTTCTAGGTCAGTTCATGCCTTTGGTAGGAATTGACTGGTCACAGACAGGTGTTGCACATTTATTCTCGGCTATCCAGGTTTGGTTATCTTGTCCATGTGTTTAGGTATTGCGAGATCACTACAATATGAAAATATTTTGTTCTGTGGTTAAATCTATAGTACACAGATCATACATGACTGCATGTGAGCAATGTTCTTGAACAGGTGGGCTCAAAACAAATAAAGGCCACAAACTCGATGATTTCTATTTCGCAAGTTTAACCTTCTAATAACTGATTAACCTTATTATCTTTTTCTTTCGTTCCATTTTTAATGAGCCATTATCGCCATTGTCTATTTCAAACGTTACAGGAAAATGGCTATCAACTACTTTTTCTCAGTGCTCGTGCAATTTCTCAGGCATATCACACCAGACAATTCCTATTCAATCTTAATCAAGTAATGCATAAGTTTAAAACTAATTTTAAATCTCAAGAAGGACCCAACAAGACAACAAAAGAAATCACTTTACATTATCCTATTTGTTTTATCATAATGCAGGATGGGAAAGTTTTACCGGATGGTCCTGTTGTTATTTCCCCTGATGGACTTTTTCCTTCTCTATATCGAGAAGGTAAATAGACTTATCTTTTTTTTTATTGTTCCCCTTCTTGTGCATTATAACTTCCCCTCCTCACTTGTAGGACTACTTATATTATGCAGTTTTTTGTTGCCAAAAGCCTCAACAAGGATTAATAGTGGTCTAATTTCATTATATTAAGTAGATAGATGTAGAATTTTTGTGCTGAAATTTGAACTTATATTTTAGGGGAAGAAATCATCTCCATTTCCTTCTCTATTTTTTTGTATCCATTTGGGTAATTAGTGTTCAGGATTGGTAAATTTTGCTTGTTTTTACTATTTACCAAAACAATCTCAACACTTAACCATGTCTTCCTTTTGTGTTTTTCGAAAAGTATTAATTAAACCTAAATGCTCAATATCTTGCACCAGAAAGGGATTTCTCCGTTTTTTTATTCTTATAACTAGTTGTTCACATATCACATGTTGCATCTTGCCATACTTGGTTCTGTTTAAGGTACAGGGATAGCTAGAAAGGTGAATAAATTCACAGATGAAATTTCTTGTTTGGCTAAAGCAGCCTGTGATGCTTAAGAAAAAAAATCTGGAGTCTGGACCAGTTCAATATATGATTAGATATAGCTTTTATACTAATAACCTAAGGAAGGTTATACTATTAACCTTAAAATATAGTAGAAATGGGAAAATTTGAAAAACTTGAAAGCTTTCACACTTTAAATTTCTAGAGGCAAAAGGAGACAAAGAAAAACCATACGCGAACCAATTAGTAAAGATTTAGAGATCAATATTTTGTCAATGGACATGATATATGATAGAGCATTTTGGTGTCGTTCATTCCATCTACCTGATCCCACCTACTAGGATTAGGGCTTGGTTGTTGTTGTCGCTCAGATACACACCATGTTTCATGTGAAGATACATGTAGTGTAAACAATCCTCGTAATAAGGGTTCATAAATCATAAATAGAAAAGGGCGGTCCGGTATATGAGGTTTCCACTAGAAGGGTCTGGGGTGGGTAGATCATAGATGTATGCAACCTTACCATTTGAAGATGTCGTTTCTAGGATTTGAGCGCATGTCATATGGGTCAGAAGGCAAACAACCTTATCGTTGCGTTTAGACTCGCCTTCTTCATAAATCATTAGTGGCTAAGAGAAATATCATTATTGAATCTATTGAAGTTTATGAAACAAGCTTTCATAATTTGAATTATGATGGAGGCACTGTCATTTACATACAAGCATACATAACATTTTGGCCATAGTTTGCACAGCAGACTTCCTTTTCAGGGTTTTCTTGAATGATTCATTGGATATATAATGTATAAATGTAAGAATGAGATTAAGCAATGAAGGCTTTGAGTCTGGAATGCCCTGATTATGCGTTTAGAATATTTCGACAATGACACATTTCTTTATTTCCAGTTATCCTCAGGGCTCCTCATGAATTCAAAATTGCATGTTTAGGGGTAAGGTTCCCACTGTCACATACTAAAGTTGATGTAATTTAATATTTTCGGAATGGTCATCGTGTTATTTAAGATAAGTTAAAGTTTTAATGTATCCAGGACATAAGGGCACTTTTTCCTCCAGATTGCAATCCATTCTATGCTGGCTTTGGAAATAGGGATACAGATGAAGTCAGTTACCTTAAAGTTGGAATCCCAAAAGGAAAAATCTTCATTATTAATCCTCGGGTAATAAATCTTTCACCTTATGTTAAAATATCTAAATAGTAAAAGTTCCTGAAATTTTTAAGGTTGCTAAACTTCCATCCTTCTGTCTAAATTTTCAGGGAGAAATTGTTATAAACCGTTGTCTTGACACAAAATCGTATACTTCCCTTCATGCTGTCGTCAACGGAATGTTCCCACCTACAAACTCATCTGAGCAGGTTTAATTATGGAGCTCTCTTTCTTATGTTTTTTCTCCTTTCGATATCAATTTCTCCTCTCCCCCGCAACCGAAAAAAGACGCAAGGGTGGATTGTGCTCTGCATATTGAGTCCTCCCATGATTTAAATACTTAGTTCAGCATGCCGGTTGATAGAAAAGATCTCGGGTGGATTTCTTGTATTTCTCTGGAGGGGAAAGTGAATCTGATTATATAAGGATTTTTGTTTGTGAAACTTACTTTTTTGGCCTTGTTTTTGCTGAATATTGGTTTCAGGAGGATTTCAATTCTTGGAATTACTGGAAGGTACCCTTTCAATCATAAATATTTAATATCTTAGTCTGGTGTGGAATGGGTGCATGCTGCTCCACTCACAGAATTATATGGGTAAGTTTGATTTTCTGCTGCACATAATCTGTTTAGACTCCATTGTAGGATTTTAACTTCAGTACTTTATACTCACATTATACCTTTTTAATTCGATTTCTAACTTGAGTTCTTCCTTTGATTTGATCAGATTCAGAAGTTTTTAGGTGTATAGTTTGATTACTACTTTTGAAGATGTCATGCACCAGCTAGAACATGGAGCATCATAGATGATTTTTAAGTCCAAGCCCTTATATGATGGACACATTTATAGCATTATAGTATGTAATGTTTTTGCATGGCCCCTTATTTTGTTTTGTATGGTGTATATGGAAAATGATGCCTGCAAATCATTTCCCTCAATTTTAGTTCTGGTTAATAATTAATGTGTACATTTGTATTACATCATAAGGATAATGTTATGATGTATACCATTTGTACATCATTTTCTGTGTATGCATAAGGTTGAAAAATGATGTACAAAAACAAACTGGGTATAGAACAATTTGATGTATAATTAGCTCTGCTGTCTATGTTTCATTTTGATAAACTTTGCTGCTAATGAGTAGTTAAGCTAGATTACAGTAGCAAATAAAGATTACTTAATGGAACTGATTAGGTTGTAGAAAGAGTGATGATATGTTTGGGTGGATGGAATAGAAAACATGTAACAACTCCTAATAAAACTATAACAACTCTTCTCACACATCTTATATTCTTATTACCAAAAAAAATCATCTGCAAAGGATGGTATAGCACGAGGTTTATACTTAACAGGTTCTGAGAATGGTAGATGTATATAGTTTTATTTTTGTCAGCAAAAAACTGTTTTCAGGATTTGAAGTCATCACTTACCTATTACGCATCACATCATCTCAAGAACATCACAAGAAAAAAGGTTAATACATATTTATATAGAAGCCATTACTTCATATATAAACCTTTATAAGGTTACTTTGTTCCTCCAAATCAGTCACTCCTTTGCGTTATCTAATATATATTTTCCTTATTTTAAGGTTGCCTGTTTATCTGGAATAAGTTACTGTTCCTTTGCATTATACACGTGACATTTTCTATATGCTTTTTGTATACACTGAACTGAACTGATAACACTCCTCTTTATACATTGAATACATGCATTTTCAGAACCAATAATTGGTAGATGAATCAGGATGACCCATGTTTTATTCCATTTAGTGTGATTTTATTATACTTTGAAGTCACTAAATATCTAAAAAAAACAAGTATTCTATGTGTGAAAAATCTGCAAAAGAGGACATAGCACGATCTTATCGACCCATATATACCTATAATGCAAGTAATTTTATTTCTAAACTAAAATTTGAATTTTGATTTCAGTCATGTACTTTATTTCTTTAAATTTATTTCGCTGAGGACAAATAAATAATTTGGTTAACACGCACATACAACATATGTTATATTAATTGATGACATTATCACTTATATTTAATTATCATTGACTCTTAAAAAATATAATATAAATGAATTGTGAATGACATAATAATTATATATAAATTTTTATACAGATATAATATTACACTATACACCAAATAAAATATATGCTCTGGATTTTAATGAATGTCATATTAACAAAAAGGTCTAGACGTGAATGTAAAACAGTGACATGTAAATAAACCTTAAATAATTAATCATCCAGCACCAGTGGTCTAGTGGTAGAATAGTACCCTGCCACGGTACAGACCCGGGTTCGATTCCCGGCTGGTGCATTTGGTAGAGCATTGATGAATACTGCATCAACTGTGATGGTTGGGTCTGTCACCATTATCTGGTATTCCAGATGAAAAGTAATGCTTCTGAGCTCTCCTTTTAATCAAATCATATCATATTTACTTATACAATGTCACTTTTGTCCTTTTTATTTAAAAGATAATTACACATTTACCCTTAGAATACACATACAAAATTCACTTGCCTCTTCATTAATGGAGAGGAATCCTACTCTAACGTGTGACAAAAGAAAAGTTCATTAACATTGGAAAAACATAAAAACAATGAAAACAAATAAAGCTGAATCTGCCACCTCAAAAATAATAATACTAATAGGAATAGCACACACATTAAATATAAATATCATAATCTTTTGACTTAATTTTAATACAACTACCTTATTGGAATTTTGGATATTGTATTGTTTGTGTAACAAGGTAGGCTCCACTAACTGTGCATCATTGACCCTTTCAAGTTAGTTTCTCTATTCTAATTTAAGCTAAAACTTTTTTCCTCCTTGTGTTTATTTTTGCAGAAGCTAATTTTAATTTTCTTTGTTTTTCCTCCTCAGATTTTTCAGTGATCATTAATATCTGCTAACTCTCAATCATTACTTTGGTTTCTGCTTATTCCTGGTATGTTCTTTTCTCTGCATCCTTTGTTATGTTTTTTTCTGAATAATCTGTTTTGTTCTTTGACTTTCATTTCCACCCTATCAATTAAGACCCTTTAGTAAAAAAAATTCATTTTAGTTTTGTTAGTCCATGAATATTGATATAGTCATAAGTTTTCTGGCTTGAAAAGTTTGGATTAGTATTTATGAATTGTAACTATAGGTGGATATAATTATTTCCCACATGGTTGCATAATTGCATGGACTTTATTATAGGAGTGGAAACAAAGCTTCAAGATATGATATATGTAGCTTTTGGTAGCCATATTTGGATTTTACCATAAAAGTTTTAGTTTTTCTTTATCTCTTATATATATATACACATATATCAGGAGAATTTTCAACAACCCAGCTAAAGTTGGAAAAGTTATGACCTAATTCATGTGCTCCTCAACAGAAAAATATGTTCACAGTTACCCAGTATGGTTAACAATTGAAAGCTAATACCTTTATCTTCAAAAGGTTAGCAAGTACAATATGGTTTAATGTATAGGTCTAATTGTTTAGAAAAAAATGAGTTTTTGCTTTTTTGTGTCAATATATATACTTGGTATTAATTTCTGTTTCAATTATTATCTAAAATAAATAGTGTTACTTTTTAGTATTCTATCTTCCTCTTTTGTCTTTGTGATAGTAATTGTGATTGTGATTGTGATTGTGATTGTGATTGTCTTTTTCATGTATCCCCCCTCAAATTGATTGATTTTCAAGCACTATGGTCTATGGGTTACTCAAGTAACTTTAGAAGCACAATTAACTCTTTACTCTAAATTTGAACAAAAGAACTATCCTTGTAAGGAGAACTATAATAAAAAAGGACGGCTCGTACACGAGACTCCCATTTAGTGGGGTATGGGGAGGATAGATATACACAATCTTATCTCCGTATGCAGAGAACTACATGCACATATAAATATCAAGTTGCATGCAAATTTGTAATGTTCTGATATCAATTTGCATAAACCTCGGCCGTATAAGGATTTTATTTACTACTTGTCTTTCAGATATTTTTAGCGCTCTCAACCGCTTCTTACAAATGGAAGATGTTGAAAGCAAGGTACACTCAAAATCCTCTTCAATAAGTACTGAAGCTGAACTGATTTCATTGGCAGAAACCCCTAAAGAAAATGTTGAAGTGACAAATCCACTTGATAATCACTCTTCCATTGAAGCTCCCATCAACACATTTAGTAATAACATGGTGGAGCTTGAGACTCATTTTCCAGTGACTGAGTTATCTGAATTAGCAATGTCACCAAATGTTTATGAATGTGAAATATTAGGACAAGGTGAATATCTTCCCCTACATAATTCAGCTTCACCCTCAAATGCTACAATGGTTCATGTAACAGAACAAAGCCATCAGGGAACTGTAGCTGCAAATTCTGAACCCGGAGCCTTCGAAGATATCTTTAAAGGGCAGAAGGTTGATGATTTTGCTGTCACTTCTACCAGTGAAGTTGATAATTTGATGAAAATCTCAACCTCCTCTTCTGAAACAAAAGAGTTGCATAATGAGCTCAAAGGACTAAAGATAAATCCACCTGAAACCAAGGTTACTGAAGTCCACATAGATAGTTCGGCTTTAAGTTCAACCCCGAATGCTATGGATTATGTAATAGAAGAAAGCCAGCAGGGAGTAGCGGCTGCAAATTCCGTACCCGGAACTTTAGAAGATATCTTCAAGGTTCAGCAGGTTGATGGTTCTAATGTCAGTGCTGGCAGTGATATTGACAATCAGATAAAATTCTTGGATTCCCCTTCTGAGACAAAACAATTGAAGAATGAGATAGATTCACCTCAAACCAAGGTTATTGATGTTGCAGTGGGAGCAGTTGACTCACCTGCATTTTCCAAGCAAATGGCTGCGCGAAAGGCCCTTATTGATACTACAGCTCCATTTGAATCTGTCAAAGAAGCTGTTTCCAAGTTTGGAGGAATTGTGGATTGGAAGGCTCATAGGATGCAAACAGTTGAGGTATATCCATCCTTTTATATGAACATTTTAATTTTTTTGTATAACCAAGGGTATACCTTATCGTATAAGTAAGGAAATAATCTCTTTCGGGATGCGTGATTGCCTCTCCCAACAAGTGTTGAACCCTTGACCTTTTGGTTTATCTGGTGATCATGGGGTCTTACACCACTGGATCAAAGCCTTGTTGGTATATGAATATTGTAATTTAAATGTTCATTCTTCACAATTTTGCTATGGTAGGAGAGAAAAAGATGGGAACTATAGTCTCCAGTGTTGTTTTCATTGTTAACTGCAGATATGGTTGTTAATAGAAAACAAATGAACTATGAAAGGTTGCTTTGATGTCTTTGTTCATGCCAATATGTTGAGTATATCATTGTGAAAGTGTGAAACCCATTATCTGCCAGAGTCAAGTCACAAATTTATAGGAAAAACCATACCTTCTCTAATGCCTTGAAGAGGCATGTACACATAAATCACAAAACAAGGAACTATTAGTTGCTGTATATTTCCTCAACTCTGACGATGTGGCGTATCAAGAAAGTTGCCGTTAAATATGTTGTACAGTTGTACCCGTTAAATTTTCCATCCAAGCACTTTGTTGCTTGACTTAATGTGCAACTTGATATTCTTTTTAACAAATATTTGCCTGTCAAGTAGTAGCATATTGTAACCATACCTCATTTTTATGAAAATACTGACATAAATGCGCTTGTTTTGCACATTGGGTTTTCTGTGTGTGTGTCGCCTAAAATTAAGGCAGAGTTACTTATTCGCAGCTTTGAATGTTAAAGAGTATAAAGTTTTTGATGATAATACTCTGCTGATACTAATACAACACATACATTTCAAGGCAGGAAGATAAATTATTTGTATTCCTCACTACGGATACTAGCTTTGTCTGCTCGAACCGCAATTAAGTTTAGTTTTTTTTCCCCCTCTGAATGTACAGAAACGCAAGATTGTAGAACAAGAACTACAAAAGGTGCAGGAGGAGATCCCGGTGTACCGAAAAAGATCAGAGGCTGCTGAACAAGAAAAAGTCCAAGTAGTGCAGGAACTGGACAGCACTAAGAGACTAATAGAAGAACTAAAACTTAACCTAGAGAGGGCCGAAACAGAAGAACATCAGGCTAGACAGGACTCAGAACTTGCAAAGCTTAGAGTGGAAGAAATGGAGCAAGGTATTGCCGAAGAATCTAGTGTTGCAGCGAAAGCGCAGCTCGAGGTTGCTAAAGCAAGGTATACAGCATCGATTACGGATTTAACATCTGTGAGAGAGGAGCTGGGCGCTTTGCGCAAGGAATATGCTTCCTTAGTTATTGAAAAAGATGAAGCTATGACAAAAGCTGAAGAAGTTGTTGCTGCATCAAAGCAGGTAGAGAAGACTGTGGAAGATTTGACTATTGAACTAATTTCCACAAAGGAGCTATTGGAATCTGCACATGCTGCACACATGGAAGCCGAGGAACAAAGAATAGGAACAGTCATGGCAAGAGATCAAGATTCACTCAATTGGAAGACGGAACTTAAACAGGCGGAAGAAGAAGTCAAGAGACTCAACCAGAAAATTGAGTCTGCTAAGGATCTCAAATCTAAACTGGACAAAGCCTCTACCTTGCTACTTGATTTGAAAGCTGAATTAAACTCTTATGTGGACTCGAAACCTGAAGGTGGTGAAGGAGTCTCGGATGGGGAACCAGAGAAGAAGACACAGACTGAGATACAAGAAGCAGTTGCATCAGCCAAAAAGGAACTCGAGGAAGTAAAACTTAACATGGAAAAAGAAACTTCTGAAGTTAAATACTTAGAGATCTCTGCAATATCATTAAAATCAGAACTCGAACAGGAGAAATCAGTTCTTGCTTCCATTAGGCAAAGAGAGGGAATGGCATCTATTACGGTTGCATCTCTTGAGGCTGAGCTGGACAAGTATAGATCCGAAATAGCTTTGGTTCTAAAGAACGAACAAGAAGGCCGGGAGAGAATGGCACAACTTCCCAAGAAACTACAACAAGCAGCCGAAGAGGCTAATCAAGCCAACTTGCTTGCTCAAGCAGCTCGCGAAGAGCTTCGAAAAATAAAAGAGGGAGCTGATCAAGCCAAGGCTGGAGAAACTACAATGAAAAGTAGATTACTTGCAGCTCAAAAGGAAATAGAAGCTGCCAGGGCTTCTGAAAGGTTGGCGATTGCAGCAATTAAAGCATTGCAAGAGAGTGAATCGGCTAGAAGAAACAATGGATTTGATGCATCAAGTGGCGTCACACTTTCTTTGGAGGAGTACTATCAGCTTAGCAAACAAGCACATGAGGCAGAAGAGGAAGCTAATATGAGGGTTGCAGCTGTTAATTCCGAGATTGAGTTAGCCAAGGAGTCTGAATTGAAAACATTGGAGAAGTTGAATGAAGTGAATAAAGAAATGTCCGAAAGAAGGGAATCTTTG